TTAGAGACTGTTTTAGAGAAAAAAGGTATTAGATAATATGAATCTGGTATGCTCTTTCATTATCTTAAATATTAATTTAGTTTATTTATTCTTAGTTTTTCATAATGTTAAGTGTGTATGACTTATCAACCAAAATGTCGCTTGATCATTAAATAATGACAATTATTACTCACGAGGAGAAAGCAACTAAAAAAATCTGTAATTTTTATTTTATATAATTTTTGTATCTTACATAAATTTACATATTTGCTAAATATACTCGTACACACGAAATGTTTAATTTAATTGTTGCGATAAGTGGGCAAAATCGATTCATTTTGCGAATCGCAACACTAAAGCACAGTGGCAAAAATAGTCGAATTATGAAGCGTCTTCTTACGAGGAGCGGGTGAAAAGTTTTGAGGCTAGGGTATTAAAATGCTGATAGAAAAATATACAAAATTTATTTTTCTATGTAATCTCTCTCTACTTCAATGCACTTTTTGTCCGCGGAGGTCCTTCTTCAAATTTGAAAATAAGTAAAAATCGCTAGGGTCAGGGTCTGGACTGTATGGTGGGTGATTGATTTCCTCAAATCCAGTTTTATTCAGGGCACGCCTTGCAACTCGCGCATTGTGCACGGGCGCATTGTCCTGGAAAAACAGGATTCCTTTAGCCAGTTTGCCTCTTCTTTTCTTGATAATCATATGACGCACTTTTGTCAATAATGCAGCCTAATAGTCCCCGTTCATTGTACTATTCTTAAGAAGATAGTCAATTAGTAAAATTCATTTAAATTTCCAAAAAACAGTGGCCATGAGATGCCGATCGCTCCACTTTGAATTTCCGTGGCAGCTTTTCTTTTGACTCTGGATCGTACTGCTTCTATGTTTCATCAACAGTGACAATGCGAGAAAAAACATCGTCAGGATTATCGCCACAGATCTCTAAAAACTCCTGCGAAATTGTGACTCGATGCTGCTTGTCCAGCGGAGTAAGCATTTTTGGCACCCATCGTGCGCAGACCTTTAACATGTGCAAATGAGTATACAAAATATCACCGATTCGTTTCTTGCTAATGCCTATGGCTTCAGTTATCTGCCACAACTTGATTCGCCGATCTTCTAGAACAAGTTTTTTTTTTACTTTTTCTTACGTGGTAGAGCCATGCTGCAGCTATATTAGTAGTGTAGTTATAGCACGAATGGGTCGGCTCGACCGGGGAAGGACCACGCTCTCACAGAATACCAGCGTAAAATAGCAGCTTAATGCTGCTGTGTTTCGTATGGTGAGTGTAGAGAACCGGAGACCCTTTTTACTGGAAAAGAGGCATTTCATCTTAGTCCTCAAGGCTGACAACGCATCTGCATTTTGATAAATGTAGATGTCTATGGGCCACAGCAACCACTTACCATCAGGTGGACTGTGTGCTCGTTTGTCACCCTATTTCTATAAAAAAAAAAAAAAAAAAAAAAAAATTTTCTTCGTTAACGGCAGCGTTTCGCCGCCCTGACCTGGGGTCATTTTCTAGCGACTCCCTGCCATGCCTGAATTCTAGGCTCCAACGTTTTACGGTGGAAAATGAAACTTTTGTTTGGGAGTTCGCCATTGTTCTTTAGCATGTAAACATTATGGGAAGTCATATTTCAGTATTACAAGTTTAGGAAACTGACAAAATAAGGTTTTCATTTTTTACAATAGCAAAATGACCACATGTGGTGTTTAGTGGGTAGGCACTTCTTAGTGAGTCCCACATAATATATGCTATGAGCATTCACCACCTCCCTCCCCCGCTTGAATTCCACAATTGAGGGAGGGCGGGAGGTGCTCTTCAAATTAGGTAAGACACATCATTTTATTTTATCGAGCTGATGTATGCAAAGTAATTTTCACCAACTTTAAGTAAGGAAATCTTAATGATATCATTAACAAGGTTCTTGAAAAGATCGAGAAAGTTCTTAAAGTTGTGATAAAAGTAGACGATATCGGCTTTCATATGAAAGTTCAAACAAAAAGCTATCAGCCATGAACTGCCTATGAAAATGAAGGGGATGTTAAAGGCATTCAATTTTATGAGCATTTATGGGTGGTGATTTCATTTTACAAGTCGAGAGGCATTTGTTTTAAATGTCTAATGAGCCGAAAGCTGCGTTGAAACAACGACGTTATAAAGAAAAGTTCCACAGACAAAAATACGTTAAAATAAAAGATATCAAGATCTGTAAAATTGGTCTTACTTAACTAATTTAATTACAGCTAAAATGTAGTACCTAAATGTACTCAATGCTTATTTTCATACAAAAATAAGAAACTGTTATCGTTAGAGATCACGTCTACGGTTTATTAGTTTTGATGATAATAATTTATAAAAATCAGCCTACTCATGCCCAATATTTCGGCACAAGTTTCTTTCTATCATAGAGGAGATTATTCCGTTTAGTTTTCCTTACTAAGTGGATTTGCTTAGAGTAGGGAAGAGGTCGTCATGCTTTCCCATTCGTGTTAGTGGCAGTCTTGAAATATTCTCGAAATATATATATTTTCTCCAAAATATAGGTTTCATCATGATATTTTTCGTCAATGCCAAGACCGTCGTAAATCAACATTTGAATGCAAAGCAATAAATTATTATGTGGACTTATAAGGCATAATATTTGAATATATAATTATGTTCTTCAGATAGAATTTCGATCAAACTGGCCAGTCTCAACGGACTAATAGTGCACGAGTGTGTGCCTAAGCGCAGGTGCACTCTCTCTCTCTCTCTCTCTTTCTCTCTCTCACTCTTATAGTACGATGGGCGGTGTTCCTAAACGAGCGAAAAAAGATGAGACGCAGGTTTTTCGAGGTATAGGGTGATAAATACTAATCTAATAATGAGTCAACTAGGCGACTAGACGAAGCAACGATAGGGTGCTGTATGAAGGAGAGCAGAGTTCCCCCCTGCCCGCGACGTCTACGGTAGTACCGGTCGGCTTCACTTGCGTACCGGTACGTCCGTTTAGGAGTGTCACGTACACGGAATCAGTTGCACGCTTTTGGTGTTCACACAGTAACATTATATTACTTGATATTATTTTGAAATATTGGGAAAGATTGTATGACGCTTTAAGTAAAATTTAATTCTAATAACCATTTCATGCGATTGCTTTCATCACGATTTTTAATTGAATTATACGTAAGGATGAGAATTCGTTATATCATTAAATCCAACAAAAAAAAAACAATTAATGAAACATAGTAATAAATGTCGTAAATATTTGTCAGTTGCACATCTGTAACGTGGCGGTTGAATAAACAGAACCAACGTATAATTTTAACCCGTTTTATTTATTCTGTTCAATCCCCTATCAAATATTTTAAGCAGAATACATGAGATACTGTATATAGGTAAAATATAATGTCCTCCAAACCGAATTTCGGTCACGGCGGTCAGCTTCAACGGAGACTAGCCATCGGCGCAGGACAGGATTATAGTGCCCAAGTGTATGCGCAAGCACAGGTGCACTCTCTATTCCTTCACTCTCATAGTCCGACGGGACGGTAAACCCACATGACCGGAAAGAGATCATGCGCAGGACCAACGGCTTTACGTGCTTTCCGAGGCACGGGGGTGAGACACCGCCAACTTCTTGACTCCGGACAGCTATTGAGAATTTCTTGATGGAAAAGCTCAATAACGGTTTTTTTGCCCGACCCGGGATTCGAACCCGGGAGCTCATGATCAGAAGTCGCACTACTACAACGAGGCAGTCAAGGTAAAATATAATAAAATTAGGAAGGTACCTACCAGCACAAGCCTTTGTTTCCATCAAAACGAATCAGATGAAGTTGCGGAACGCAAGTAGTTTTGTAAAGTAGTAATTAGTTTGTATCTTTGTATAGAAAAATAAATTATTACGAGGAATACTGATAAAATATAATGTATATATATTACTATTTAAGGAAATGTTTTTTTGTTTCAACCCTTGCATATTTTAGCGGCTTGACGTCGAGACAGCCTTGTAGGTATTTTGCGGTATAGCAAAGGAGTTGACCCACTATTAGTATTTATTACAAATATTACACTGGTAATTTCCTGACTCCAGGCTGCTACAGGGAAATTTTTAATAGAAAACTTAACAATTGATTGAAGAATTCAAACGCAGGACTACATTATAAGCAGTCGCCCTTAAGACCACTAGGCCGACGGGGCAGTCGTTGCTTTTTTGAATAAAAAACCTCAAGCTTCTTTAAATATATTGGAAATAGTTATAAAAATATAATATTGACAAATTTTTATACGTAGTAGAGCCATGCTGCAGCTATATTAGTATAGTGTAGCTATATTAGATAGTATATTTGTAGCAGATTGGGTCGGCTCGACCGGGGAAGGACCATGCTTTCACAGAACATCGGCGTAAAATAGAAGCTTAACGCTGCTGTGTTTCGTATGGTGAATGTAGAGAATCGGAGACCTTTTTTACTGAAAAAGAGGCATAAGGCATTCCATCTTAGTCCTCACGGCTGACAACGCATCTGCATTTTGATTCGCAAACTAGGATAGATGTAGATGTCTATGGGCCACAGCAACCACTTACCATCAGGTGGACTGTGTGCTCGTTTGTCACCTTGTCCTATAAAAACAATGTATCTTTAACCCATATAGATTAAACACTAATATTGAGAATGAGCGCACGGGGAATCCCAGTTGGCAACATAATTTTTGAGTGTCTAGCTTTTATTAAAAAGTAGCGAACCCCCTGGCTACGCAATGTTCTTTTAATATGTAAGGATAAGGATATATATAAATCGAGGATCTTACAAAATAAAAAAGAAATTATGTTTCTATGTTATTTTATAATACAAATATCTGTAATATTCGATTAACGTCTTTCTTAGCCGATTTGTAACAAGAGGAATTTCTCAATCCAGTTTATTTTTGTGTTATGTTATGTTTGGACGGGATATCTTCGCCAATTGCATACCATTATTCTTTTTTAACATAATGCAAAAATAGCATTCTGTTATTAATCAATATTTCAGAATTGCATGTGCTTCTTAATCCAAGTTAAGTATTTAGCGGCGTCCGTGAAGACAACGTATTCGTCGAGGTTGCACCTCTTATCAGCCGAAGTTGTTGAAAGGGCTAGAGAGACGATTCCTCTTAGTTTCCATCGACCATCGTCCAAAACAAAAAGGCCGCCGCCAGAATCGCCAGAGCAAGGCCCTGATCCATCGCGATTACCTGAAATAAATTGTTTTCCTTAGAGATTAATATTTAAATATGGCATGGCAGATAGCGCCCATAGTAAATTTGAACGTACTTGTTGTACACAAACAGACATAAGTGCAGAAGTTGTCAATTATGGAGGATATAATTTTAAATACTAAATTTCCTATAATTTAACGTTTATGTAATAAGCTTGAAGCAGAATTCAAATATACAGTGCTTAATAAAATTTACATTTTATAAAAACTAAAAATCGACTGCAAATTACTAAAACGAATGAAATAATTTAACATTCTGAAGTCGGTACTAAGACATAATGTATTTTATTCTTTTTAGGGTTCCGTAGCCAAATGGCAAAAAACGGAACCTTTATAGATTCGTCATGTCTGTCCGTCTGTCCGTCCGTATGTCATAGCCATTTTTCTCCGAAACTATAAAAACTATGCTGTTGAAACTTGGTAAATAGATGTATTCTGTGAATCGCATTAAGATTTTCACACAAAAATAGAAAAAAAAACAATAAGTTTTGAGGGTTCCCCATACATCATCAAACCCATACGTGTGGGGTATCTATGGATAGGTCTTCAAAAATGATATTGAGGTTTCTTATATAATTTTTTTCTAAACTGAATAGTTTGCGCGAGAGACACTTCCAAAGTGGTAAAATGTGTGTCCCCCCCTCCCCATGTAACTTCTAAAATAAGAGAATGATAAAACTAATAAAAATATATGATGTACATTACCATGTAAACTTCCACCGAAAATTGGTTTGAACGAGATCTAGAAAGTAGTTTTTTTTAATATATCATAAATCATAAATTATGTTAGTTGCTGCTACGGAACCCTACATGGGCGAGTCATTCTCGCACTTGGCCGCTTTTTTTGGTTCTTTAAAGTCGGCTTTACTTTTATCAAAAGGAGTTTTAAATTAAATGTGTGAAAAGCATTTTGAAAAAAAACCTCGATAAATAATATCGTTGATGTCTTTTGTATGGATAATATAAAGTAACGTTCTTACTCATAAAAATCGACGTCAATTTAAGGAATGCTTACAATTGCCCTCACTCTTTTCACTAAATGGCAATAAAACGAGACTGGTATAGAGATAAACGAGTTGAATGTAAATTCAAGAAAAACAACTTCCTTTTGCGTGAATCCCATATCTCTGGTGCCCTTTGACCTACAGGACCCAAATTAAAACTCGACCGAGCTACTACCTCAAGGTATCCACATACCAAATTTAAAGTCAATCGGTTCAGTGGAACGGAAGTTATCGTGTCGGAATACAGACTAACAGACTGCCAGCTAAAACCATTAACTTCCTTTCAATGCTACGCAGAAGGAAGTTAATAATGCCTAATTTAAGTAAAGTGAGCCGTGATAGCTCAGGTGGTTAGCGCTCGCTGTAAGCTTCACAGTACTCGAGCAACCCGGGTTCGATCCCCGCCGGCACCAATGAAATTGTTAATTGCAATTTTAAGTGCTGATTTACCACGTGCTCGGTGGTGAAGGAAAATCATCGTGAGGAAACCTGCATGTCTAAGAAATAAGAAAAAAATATATCGAACACATGTGAAGTTCACCAACACGCATTGGGGCAGCGCGTCGGACATTTCCTTACCCTAAAACCCTCTCAGAAATGAGAGGAGGCTTGTGCCCAGCAGTGGGACGTAAATAGGCTGCAACTTTACTTTACTTTTAAATAAACGGTAATCAACGATTACAAGTGAGGCAGTTAAATTAAAATTGGGAATCAGGATAAAAAAAAATAAAAGGAAATACGAACAAATGAAGGTAGAATGGTAATCTTCCACTTGTTTTAGCAGTATAAAGTATCGCACAGGCTTCTGGGCCCCCTTTTCCCCTGTGCCCCCTTTTCTCTAAAGGGGGTCGCTTCCAATTTGGCAGAAAGATCATACAGGCCAATACTAGTCCCACAGGTGGTGCTTAGTGGGTAGGCACTTCTTCAAAGTGAGTTCCACATAACCACGCAGCCGGCTGTCGTGGTATGTTATGAGCATTTACCACCTCCCTCTTCTGCTTCCGTAGGATAGCCTTGCATTGGGTGCAAAAAAAAAACTAAGAGGCATCAGTCTGTAATTCTAAGTGTCCCACTGTCGTTACTATGCCCGTTGGAGTATTCTACTAGTATAGGGGGAAGGAAGGTCGTGTTGCTGAGAGGTTGCCCTGTGTACACTGAGATGGGTAGTGATGATGTTGGTTTGCATACTTTGGTGTTATCATGTAATTGGGTCCTGATAGTAAGTAGATAGTAACCCTGCTTGGTTTGTTACCAAGTGGTGTCCCTTTATTTAAATACTTTCGAGAATAATTTCTAACATCAGAAGTGGAATAGATTGTTACAATATTATAATATTGGACTTTCATTTATATTGGAGGTCCAAAATAATACGAGCAGTTGTTTTAAAATTGTTCCGATACTAAGAACCGTTTAATAATAGATATTTGTGAGAAAAATTACTAGGCTTCCTAAAAACATCATCACTTACTTATTAAGTGAGATCGTTTTCAAACACTAGCTCATAATTTGTAAACAAAGTGAACATTGCTAAAGCAATGTGGTGGCTGCGACTAGACACTACCTTGTGTATCAATGCAGAAACTTACTGATCTGTACCTCTTGATTATTATTTATGAATTATCTATAACGCCAATATCTCCATTCAGTTTTAATAAAAAAGACGTTAGATATACTATAGAAGCATTTAACTCAGGGTCTAACTAAAGTTAAGAAAAAAGAGTTACAGTAGGCTTTACGTGCCACTACAGGACACAGATCTTCTCATTTCTAAAATGGAATAGGAGTACGCCACAGAGGTCCAGTGAATATTAGCAGCCTAAATGTTATAGGTTTTCCAAATATGCAGGTTTTCACACTTTGTTTTCCTCCACTTAAAAACTGCAACTCACAATTTTATCGGTGCCGGCGGGGATCAAATTCGGCTTATTCATTCGGTATATTTAATATCATCATGAGGCGAATGTGAGTTTGATTTTTTTTTAGTTCTTGAAGTCGGCTTGGACTTCTTATTGACAATTATATATAAATAAATTAATAAAAAAATTGTTTTTTTTTTCATGACGTTTTCAATGTTGTCTAAATAGTTAAATTAAAAATTTTCTCCCCTATATTGTCATTCTCATTGGTGACATTTTATGTCCAAATTTATATGAAACTATCCTTGACGTATAACTTATTTAATGAAAACTGATACACAAAATTGGTTCACAATTGACAGAGACATCGCGTAACATACATACAAAACACTAAAAACAGAAACAATCATATTCGTCACGTCGGTGCCAGATCTAGCCTGTTTTTATCTACAAAGCGTTTAAGTTTCTAATGCTGAAGTAACTACCAGAAATAATTCCGAATGATTTTCATTTTTCTTTCATATATCCGCTGCCAATATCGAAAATTAAAATAATGGAAATGTGTTAAAGGAACATGAAAACAAAGTTAAATTTGATCGAAAAGTTTACAAAACTAAGAAGTAATTATTGTTACAAGCTTGGGGTTCGAGACAATTAAAAACTGCCGATTGAATTACCAAATTTGACACTTTAATTACAGAACACTAATTACAATTTAAAATCACCTAATAATAAAACACAATTTTACTACTTATCACTTTAGTTCGCAGTTATTTCGCTTCGAAGTATTCGCTTGTATCGCCAATTCAATACTGACTCGGTCGTGGTCTTTACCGGCCTTATATAGGGCCTCAGGTAGTTTCCAGAACCTTCTACGGTAGAAACATCTAGAATGTTCGAGTACATATTGGTCCCGAAATTTCTAGAAAGATCTTGACTCTCCTAATTCTGCTACTTGATACTAGAGGGCGCTAGTGGTAACTAGTGTTGCCATGTACGAGACATTAATAGTGGCGTGCAACAGTATTTTTAAAAGCTTAATTGAGCGTATTATGTAAGTTGCTTGTACCTGCACATAGAGTTGTTTCAGAGGTGAGTTTGTGGAAATCCGGCTTAGAAGCTCTACAATCAGTGGTACTAACAATGGGCAATCTAATCATGCGAGGGTCTCCATGCCCGCCTTTACCAATTTCGTTGTCTCCCCAACCGGTGACCTGTAAAAAATAACGGTACACATCATTCTTTATAATATAGAATGGCTGGAGGACCTCGACACTATGCAAATGACGTCACTAATGTCCCACAAAGGATAGTTCTTAAAGTGAACTCGGAGAAAAGAAAGACTATGCGCAAAGTTCATGTCACACTCATGCCGATAGTTGTTGAAAACTCTACGCTTGAAGTTGTTGACGTGTATGTTCACTGATATTCTGCTGATTTTCGGTCTGAAGTGTATAGAGAGTCTGGGGGCATGGCAATGCCCCCGCCAAGTCGAGCAAAAAAGCGGCACGGCCGTACCATCCTTTTCTCGAAGCGCTTCAGGCCATTTTCGAAACCCTATAACTTCGTTGTGGATAAAACTAGAAGCCTGAATTTTCAGTAACAAAGTAGGCATTGTAAAAACTCGGTAAATTTCAAATTTCATTAAATTTGAACCAGTAGTTTAAGAATTATAACTAGTCAAAGTTTCTTAAATTTGTCACTCACTGACTGACCGATCATCAAAACTCTAAGGCACTTCTAGCAAACATAGAAGATTGAAATTTGGAATACAATTATTGTTTAGTATATTAATCAAGGAAAAATTAAAATATTTTGCAATTTCGGTCCAGTTTTCGAGATACACCAACTGCATAAATAACTTTGTAATCCCATATAAATATATAGGATTACAAGTTACATTTGCAGTGAGTGAATCAGTATACCTATATATGTATAATACAATGGAATAATAGGTGTAGATAGGTACCTAGATATAACTATCTACAAAAAGAAATGAGATGCTATCAAAAACATTACTTGTAATAAAACCAAATCTCGCAACTCAGCGTAAAAAGTTGTGAGATTCATGTAATACCAAGTGGGTTAATTTATTCAGTCCCTACTTAAGGGTCCTTCTGTCTTAAGTTATTACGTAATTAAATAACCTAACAACATCTTATAGTGACCACATCAATACTAAAAATCTTTTATATTTTAAATAAATAGATTGACTTGGCCATCGCATGAAAACACAATGTATCTCTCAAGTGATACATATTATATTAAATTAGATTTTTTACTGCAATTGCCAAGTCAATTTATTTATGTTTTTGATGGCATCAATATATTTACAGGCTGTGAGGCATTCCATCTTAGTCCTCAGAGGTGACAACGCATCTTATTCTCTTCGTGGGTATTGTCTTCGTGGCATCCTTAGTTTGACGTTGATTGCAGGCGCCTGCACTTTTTATTTTAAAGAATTGAAATGGATTGAAATTGTCACGGATTTATCACGCAGCTACCATTTATCACACGGAAAAGTATTCAAATTCCAATAATCTACTAATCTTTCTCTGTCACCTGTCGATCTGACAGAGAAAGATTAGTTGCATTATTTTCTACCGACTTTAAAAAGGAGACGGTACTCAATTCGACTGTATGTTTTTTTTATGTGTATTACCTTATAACTTTGTACTGGGTGGACCGATTTCGATGATTCTTTTTTATTTGAAAGCTGGTACTTCACATGTGGTCCTCACATTGATCAAGGTCTGACTAATAGTTTTTGAGTTGTTCTTAATAATTTATATTGAAGTCGGTTGTACAAATTTTTTAAATATTATTATTGGAAAGACCTTTCCAGAGAAGGAATTTATCAATAAGCTGTGGAGTTTAAGAGTACCTATTTAAAGTGGCGGTACTTAATTATAAGCTGACCGGATAAAATGATTAGTTAATAATATACTTCAAAAAAAGTACGCACCACACCAGTTTGGCCGACAATTCGATTTAAATCAGGATTGCCACTCCATAAGCAAGCCGGTTTAATGTTGCTATTATATTGTACCGATTGCTCCAGTGTAAACAATGCTATATCGTCTGCAAAATTAACATTGATGTAATATAATGCATTTCATTACGTAGGGCTAGATGAAAATGAAGATGAAGATGAAAATGATTAATATGGAATCACAGTTTTGGCACAATGTAATATCTGAAGTATATCATTCATTTAGTATTCGTGGTAGAGCCATGCTGCAGCTATATTACTGGTATAGTTATAGCACGAATGGGTCGGCTCGACCGGGGAAGGACCACGCTCTCACAAAATACCAGCGTAAAATAGCAGCTTAACACTGCTGTGTTTCGTATAGTGAGTGTAGAGAACTGGAGACCCATTTTACTGGAAAAGAGGTGAGATGTTAGTCCTCACGGGTGACAACGCATCTTCATTTTGATTCGCAAACGAGGGTAGATGTAGATGTCTATGGGCCACAACAACCACTTACCATCAGGTGGACTGTGTACTCGTTTGTCACCATATCCTATAAAAAATATTAAAAAGACTAAAAATAAATATTGTATTCTCGGTCCAATGGAAGAACAGAGTCACCCAACACAAGCATTACTATATGCTTCCTGGGCGACTCTGGCCTCAGAATAATGCTTGTAGACCTAAGTTTTAACTTATATACTGATTTATTTCTTTAGAAATAAACGATTTTTATTTTTATTTATGTTATTATTTTCAACACACTTTAGTCGCCGTGGTAGCTCAGGGGCTAAGCACTCAACTCTAAATTTCACAGTACGCGAGCAACCCGGGTTCGATCCCCGCAGCCACCAATGAAATTGTTAATTGCAATTTTAAGTGCTGATTTACCACGTGCTCGTTGAAGGAAAATATCGTGAGGAAACCAACATGTCTGAGAAATAAGAAGGAAATATATATTGAAGACACGTGAAGTTCGCCAACATGCATTGGGGCAGTGCGGCAGACGTTTCGTTGCCCTAAAAGTCTCTCAGAAATGAGAAGAGACCTGTGTCCTACAGTTGGTCTCCAATAGTAACTTTAACATTTTAGTCTGATAATAGTGAATTATTCCTGATCAGAGACGGATTTAATGCTACATATTTGTGGTACATAACTGTCGTAGTTTCTAGGTTGATTAGAAATTTTAATTATTAATTTGTCATTGGAAGCCACACAACAGTAGAGAAAATAATTTTTTATTACCCTCCTACCCACTCTTGGTTATTAAGGGATACACATTTTTTGTTGTATATTTAGTAGTAATATAGCAAAAATTGTTCTCACGCGATAAGTTTGCTTTGTTGAACCCTTCGTGTATGACTGCTGATTCAAGTTTCCGTAATAAAACTTCTGCGCCCCAATCGTCCAGATTGTATACACCCACTTTCACCACTATAACTGATGTGTCCTTGTTATGGATACAATGGGCAGCTGTAAGCAAAAAAAAAATGAGTGTACTAATCTCTCCAAAAGTGGAGACAACAACGAATTTTCCAAGATGAAATCTAACTGAAATTCATTGTGATAAAAATAATGCAAATCTCATTGAAAATTTATAAAAATCACCTGTGATCACATGTCTGTCCGAAACCAAAGTACCAGAACACACAAAGCTGAGCGTTCGGTCTTTATTCTGATAAATAGCAACTAGCCAAGGCCACTCGCCGCGAGAGTAGCTCTGACCGTGCCAGATAAGAGCAACTCCCTTTTTTGCTTTCCCACATTGCACGATAAAAGAATCTTCAAACTCCAGACTATCAGTCGCAGGCAATAGAGCCTCAGGAAAAGAATTTCTGTTGAGAATAATTATAACTAGAGTAACCGACACAGCCCAACGGATTAGTAAGCTGAAGCAGCAATGGGCCGGCCATATAGCTCAACGACAACGGATGTGAAAACAGTTTCTCGAGTGGCAGCCGCATTCCGGTAGGCAAAGTGTAGGGCGACCCCCCACTAGATGAAGTCGAAGGATGCAGGTGGCTCAGGACCGTTGTTGCATTCCTTGGGGGAGGCCTATGTTCAGCAGTGGACTTGTAAAGGGCTGTAATGATGATGATGATTAAGGTCTTACGGGAGCGTTAACTATACTGAGGTTCTGAATTGATATTATGATCAGACAATTTTAACGGCCGTTATTTTACCATCTCTTAAACGGTAAGATTATTTGTATCGTATTCTTTTGAAGAATGATTTTTACATGAGTGTATATAATAATTTAATTACAGCCAACTCGCCCGTTGCAGTTGTGGCAAATTTTCCCATGTGAGACAATCTACGAAGAAAGCCTATGTTTAGCAATCGATTTTGATAGAATGAACTCTTTTGAAGGCTTTTTCGAAATTTAGGGGACAAATGCATTGCCTGTGTTGTCATGTGTCTGAATGGAAGGTTTTTACTAACCTGTAATTAGTTCTAACCCATTCAAAAATATAATTGTAAATGCTTTTTTTTAAAAGGTTACCCCCACTAGGATTTTCTCATGTATCGTGGAGGCAGATCACAAACACAAATTGTACAAGGACAACCATCCAGACCCGGAATAATTATTTGTAGGTCACACAAATACTTGTTCCGTGTGGGATTCGAACCCGCGACCCCCGGCGCAGCGACTCATTGCTAAGCCACTGCGCCAAGGAATCGTGTTAAACTATATTAAACATTTACTCAGCAAAAGAAAAAGTTCTTTTCTTCCACATTGCATGGTTTTTATTCTTAACTATTAAATGGCATCGTTGCAGTAAATGTTTCTAATTTCTATCTTTCCAAATGTAGAAAAAAAGAGTTATCGAAAATTAAGTTCAATTTCGAAAATTTGAATCAAAAGGAAGTTTTCACTATTTTAGAAGATTGGATAAAAATTACAATATATGATAAGACACAGGCTAATGATTCTTACTCAGGTATACCCGTCACTTGTTCGGACAACGTCGTATGTTCTTGCTGGGATTGTATTTGCTGTGGTTGGGTTTGTTGTGGATGCAATTGATGTGATGGCCATCGTCTTGGGGGATCCGAAAATGTAATTTCTTCTGGGTAAAACTGTAGTTGCGGTCTATTAACGCTATTTATTACGTCTGATTCTGGGCGCACTAAATGTGTGGCATAATAGTCTGAAAAAAGAATTTATAAAGGCATCTTCAGTAAATTTTCAATTTGCTTTAGCCGTAAATAATTTTAATGTAATACATACTATACTATTGCGACAGGCAGACGTTATCCTGCCCTGAAAATAAAAAAAGCCTTGAACCTAAAAGTAGCGATACCTACCAGGTTCAATTATGAATCTAAATCATCCAGGGTCAAATCTAAATCAACTCAAACACAGATAAAAAATGTCATCAAATCTCTTCCAAAACCGTTTAGGAGGAGTTCCATGACAAAAATACGTACAGAAAAATTATACAACATGTAACAAAAGCCCTGTGGTCCTATTAAGTGCGTTATCACAATCAGTATTCAAACGTATGCAATTAACTTTACTTCCGAAACCTCTACTATAAAAAAAGATCATAATTGTATGTGGCTTTATCACCTCTGCATTAACCGGGGAGTATGAGTATTGTCTAAAACCCCGTTTTACCGATATATAAGAACTGGTGATATGCAACTTTTTTATAATAAGAGGGTATAATACCAACATGACAATGTTATAACAGCATGACATTGTGTAAGTATGGTGTGTATTTTATGATTTGGTTGTAACGAGAACCAAATTAAAAGTCATCGTTAATTTAAAATTTACAAGATATTTCATCTTAGCTTTTAGGGATGACACCGCACATTTAACTTTATTTTTCAATCTAACTCAATATGTATAATGAATCCATACTGCAAAAACTCAAAATAAATTGCAATTTAAACTGATAATTGGTAACAATTTACCTATACTTAAATAAAATATTACTTACACGTTGTCTTAAATGTAGTTTGATCAACATACGAAGACGGTATTTTGAAGACGTGTGCATTGCCAACATTGTTAACATAATTTGGTACTTGTGTTTGGCTTGCCGGGAGATTGTATGTTGCTGACTTTATGAATAAAGTGTGCTGAAGTGTTATTGTTGTCAAATATTCATTTGATGCGGGAATATCTGAAATAAAAAAGTTGGCATATTATTATCAAGGCATTTGAGTATGTGAATAATTCATTCATCTTTAGTTCACACCATTATAGTCCTCTAGTCGTAAGTGTTGCGTGCATATCATTACCTAGTTTAAGAGCCAGTGAGATCACTTAAATATATGTCTACTATGCTAGATATATACTCGTATATCAAATAATATTATCAATAACATATATAAATTGAAGCTTTATTGAAATAACGTAAATTATAAAGAAAAAATTGTACTTGTCAGCCTGTGTGCCATGACTTTGGAACCGCCATAGGTGTCTGCCATTGTTATTTTTCAGTAACTTTTATTGAATATTTCAAGATATCAAAGCAGCAGACTTATCACTTTCACGTTTTTTTTTTCGGACATTTTTTACACCTTTCACACATGAGCGTTTCTATATCAACCGCCGGTCAAACTAAAGAATCCCCATTTCATGTACCTGACGTATAGGGTATTAACTGAAAAAACGTGAAGATTATTGAAATACCGTAAGTCTGCCGCTCACTGGCTCTTAGACCAACCTCTACGAGGATAATCGTTCTAGGTGTCTACGAATCACTGCCATAACCTACCACCTAATATCAGGTGTAGGTGTAAGGTGGATTCAACTTTTTTATTCTCAATAACGTTAAAAGTATTTTATTATACTGTAAAATAAATAATCCAAGATAAAAATAAGAAGTCCGCATCTATTTATTTAATTAAAAAGAAGTATTCAATTTACAACATCTACAACTTATTAACCGTTCACTGTTGGGTCTGTTAAACAAATTAACGTCTTCTAGACCGAGTTTCGGTCATGGAGACTAGCCATCTGCGCATGACAGCATTGTAGTGCCCGGGTGTATGCGCAAGTACAAATGCACTCTATATTTCCTCACTCTCATAGTCTGATGGACTGGTTACACGACACGACCGGAGAGAGATCAGGCGCTGGATCAATGGCTTTACGTGCTCCCCGGGGCGCGGGGGTGAAGTGCCGTCAACTTTCTAACTCCGGGTTGCTACTAAGAATTTCTTGACAGGAAATCCTAATAACTGATTTTGACCTAACCTGGAATTCGAAACCAGGACCCAATTATGGTTTATGATCAGCAACCGAGTTTACTTCCACTAGATCAACGAAGCAGTCAAAGAGATGAGAAAGAGAGAGAGAGAGAGAGAGGTATATTAAATAACAATACTAATATTTTACTAAATGATAAAATAAAAAAAAAAATTAATTACCTGGGTAAGCAAAGCAAAGTATATTGTCATTGACATAGAGCGCAGTAAGCTTTGGGAGCGACGAACTCAAAGGAAAGTTAACCCTGTATTTTATAGGCATTCCCCGATTATATTCCTGGATGGCTTGCTCTCGTCCATAAGGTTCAATGCTCCCAAAATATTCCTATAGAAATTAAAAAGGATAAAACATAAAGATTTTGTCTTCTTATTAAATCAGATTTAGTATAATTCTCGTTAATGTCCATGGCAGGATATTAGAAAGAAAGAAAGAAAGAAAGAAAGACATTTATTCACTGGAACTGTACACATCACAAAAATAAAAAATAACAAGTTAAAAGTATGGTAGATTAAAATTACAAGAGTGTATCGAGCCAGTGAAAAGGTTATGACTCAGCGTAATGCTGCAGGGTAACCTACAGCGCTGATGATTCTGCCATAATCACAGAAACACTATTATTATTACATATTAGGTCTTAATCATCAGGCTCGGCAAGCGTATTAACTATAGAAGTACCAAACATTTCGCACCTTTGACGCTCAAGGAAATGGTAACGTAATCTACTATATAAAAAATAATTTTTGTTTGTTCGTAATTTATGCGCTGCCTTACCGTTAATTATCATATCATATTTATAACAGTTTACTAAAAGTCTGTACTTTTAGTTACTGTAAGTCATACTAAACATAGTGCTCCAACGAGGCCATGTTTGCGATGTTTTGAGCTGTAATTAGGAAGATGCTCCTGTTTCAGTTTCCCTCGATTGCCTTACAACACCAACCTACCATATGGGGTAGTGGATGCTTTAAGGTCGCCACGTAAATGTCAAACTAGTATAATTTACAATTTATTTATTTGCATGTTTCAGTTACATATTTCCAATCGCATCGTAGCTTAAAGTAGTAAATGCGTTATTTTTAACTTATTTACTTATTCGCCGATTTTGTTTAGCTTGTTATACAAGTTATTAGAATACTTTTACGCAGAATGAAAATTTTAAAGATTCGTAGTTTATTGTAGAGTATATTTCGCTTACAGTCCAAAGAGTAGAATAAGTGTCTTGTGCGCGAAGGAAGGAGTTTGTGCAGTTTAGGTTTATTTTACACTTTCGAAACTTGATTTAACTGTAATTTTATACTCACAGAATACTGTTATTCCCGGCAGAGCTCCGGAACTCATTTAGTGTGTTTTGAGGGCAAATAACGGGCATTTAAATAGTGGGGTAAATAAGGTGGCAGGCCGGTCAAAATGCCACGGGCCCCCAACCCAGCCGGAAAATACCACCGGCCCGAGAGGGCTGTGAGTACAAGAAGATCTTAACATTTATTATTTAGTAAAATATATTAGTTTTATCTTTGATTAACAAAAGGTAACTGTGCATACACAAGTTAAACAAAAAAATGTATTGAAATTTCAATGCATTTGTTGGAAAAGATTTCGGTCAGTTTTAGAACGTACGCGGTAGGTAATAAAATACTTTTTAATTGAGTTCTTTACTCTGTTTGCATTTATTACAGATAGGCGCTATTAAATAAACTCTGTATAAGAACGCATTTACAGTTAATACAACTTTACAGCAAGAATAACCTCCTCCTGCCTCCTCAATAAATACATTTAAACGTAAGATTAAGGCACATTTTTAAATTTATATCATTAATATATTATGGTTATTATTTCTTATACTATATTGTATGTATTTTATTGGTGTAGTATGTATTTTATTGTTTGAGGGAATGCCTTTTCGGCATTAAGCACGCCTTTGTACCAAATTGATTTGAGTGCAATAACGAATTTTCTATCTATCTATCTAATAATATAAAACTGCACGCGCTGCTCTTTAATTTTTGGTAGATTTCTTAGATTCCGACCATCACCGGCCATTGTAAAAAGGTCAATTATAGTTATTATTAGTCGCAGTGTTTGCAGCAGTATTTTTTTTATAGGATTAGGGTGACAAGCGAGCACACAGTCCACCTGGTGATAAGTGGTTGCTGTGGCCCATAGACATCTGCATATATCCTCGATTACGAATCAAAATGCAGATGCGTTGTCAGCCGTGAGGACTAAGATGGAATGCAGCTTTTCCAGTAAAAAGGGTCTCCGGTTCTCTACACTCACCAAACGAAACACAGCAGCATTAAGCTGCGATTTTACGCTGGTATTCTGTGAGAGCGTGGTCCTTCTCCGGTCGAGCCGACCCATTCGTGCTACAACTATACCAGTAATATAGCTGCAGCATGTGTGCAAGCTCTACCACGTACCGTATTCAAAGCAAAACAGTATTGATTACTAAAATTCCACAGTAAATATCCTTGCATGGGCTCCAAACCATTGGCTCCATCTGGCCTATAACTTAATGGTGACTGCCGCACTTATCTGACGATGTCTTTATTTTTTTTACCTATTTCGAAAACTACTTCGTCACAGCACATTCACTTAATTTTTTTTTCATACGCGAACACCTTTTAATAGCTATGTAGATTTAAAAATTTGTGATAAGCGAAACGTATAAAAGATGTCGGTGTTCCTAATAAAATAAACAAAGTATGTAGTACGAGAGAGCGAAGGATTCCCCGTTCTAAGAACAAGTTTTTCAAGTCGCGTGGGACGATGTATCACTGGATAAACTTTTCATCACGAAAGTTATCGGTATCGGCTATTTACCTTATAATACATAATTTACCTTTATTGTACAATAATGAAATTAAGCATAAAAATAAACTTAGTTTTCTATATGAAGGATTATAATTCATTAACACAAATGCTTGTTTATAAACAACCTTAAGAGATGAAATTCAATTTTTGTAAGGCTTTTGCGAAGCGATTCTATATTATAAACAGTTATTTTCGATTTGTAAATAAGTAAAATATACTGATTTTGAAATTTAAGATTAAAAGCAATTTTCAAAGAAAATATTAATATTTATTTTATGGCAAACGACCACAGTCCACTTGACGGTAAGCGGATGCTGAGGCCCTTGTACACCCACATCTATCCTCGATTAGGTAGCAAAATGTAGATGCGTTGCCAACCCTGAGGACTAAGATAGAATGCATCGTTACCAGTAAAAACGGTCTCTGGTTCCCTACACATAAGAAACACAGCAGCTTTAAGCTGTAAATAACAGCTGTATTCGTTCATCATTCATACATTGGTATTCTGTGTGAGCGTGATTCTTCCCCGGTCGAGCTGACCCATTCGTGCTACAGCTTTAATATAGCTACAGCGTAGCTCTACCACGTTACAATAAAATTTCAAAATTTTATATTTCCCAGATATTTTTGACTCAGAATGTAAAAAATGTGAACATACGTACTATATGTTAATCATCATTCATGATCATCATAACTATCTATTGTACTGTATAATGCTGAACATAGGCCTCCCCCATAGATTGCCTCATAGGGGGAATATTTGCTTTAGTTTCTACGTTTGGTAGACAGGGTGGTAACAGTAGTGTTTCTGTTACTTTATTTGTTTTTTTTTTAAATGCTGCTGCCCACCCCTTGTGTCAGTTTCCCTTCGTCGCCTCTTTTGACACTTACGGAATGAAATAGGGTAGTGAATTCTCTTGCATCAACTACTGCGTATATATTAATGCTGCACGCTGATGAATTAAGCTCTTACATAAACCAATATATAAATCAAGAGTGTATTCTAAATTCAAAGCAACTTAGCCCCAAAGAAAGTAACTACATAGTAGACAAGAAAGTATATGAATAGTAATGGTAATTCATCAGTTTTAGCATTTTGCGACTAAATTCTAGTAGTTATTACCAAAAAATAATGTGCCTTAAGAACGACTCTACAGGGTAATCTTTAGAATGAGATCTTTAAGTTAACATTCGTCAAGCAAATTCATATCAATAGCCTGAAGTTGTGACGAAACCTTTACTAATCCAAGTGCATTTATAAGTTGGTCGAATATTACTCGTTCATTTCTTAACTTTACTTAGCTGTGATAGTTTTCCTTTTAACTTCATTATATGTACTACTATTGTGTATACCTTTCACATTTCCAGAAGTAGCGGTTTCGTTGTTATAAGGCGGGACATAACTCTAAAATACCACTTTGAAGCCAAATATTTCGCAAGCGGACCCCTGAATCGAAAAGATGTTGTTCTATATCCCCACTGTTTTTCAAAGACCTATCCAATGATACCCCACATGATGGAATAGACGGGTAAAAAAAATTATACCCCATTTACTTGTATGGGAAATACCTAAAATAAAAATATTTTTTAAGATTTTATTTCACAGTTTTTTAGGCGTGATAAATATCTATAACTATGCCAAATTACAGATTTGTAACACTTAGGGTCTCTGAGCAAAACTGCGGACGGACGTACGGACGGACATGGCGAAACTCTTAGAGGGTTCCTTGTTGTGTAACTACGGAACCCTAAAAACGTTCTGTTGTTGTCAGACGTTTTAAAAATAAAAATTGTGTCTGTAATTGTGTACTTGAGTTCACACTTACGAAATTAATCGGCTTTACGATATATCATTCTTCTTTTATTTTATATTTTCCATAAATAGATTAAATAATAGTATATACTCATGTAGCCCCGACGTTAAAACGTTACAAGAAAACGTCACGTTTTTTTATTTTTAATACCGTACTAAATTTCTCCAATACGTTGCTAAAAAAAGGTTCACTTCAAAAAATCATCTAAAAAAATTTAAATTATTTTCTCAGAAAAATGAATTTAATTTACCAATTATTAGTAGGTACTTGAACAGTTTCCGAAATAGATTATATCAATATGATGACGTAAATATCATAATTTTCAAAGAGTTACAGATCAATGATTCTACATTTATAAACAAGGTTGTTTCTAGTCGTCATTATTTTAGTATTTTCTATTATTTTATAATTAAGTAAGTAGTGATGGTCTTAGGAAGCCTAGTTCTTTTGTGACATCTATTATAAAACAATTTTACATTACCAGCACAATTTAAAAATTAACCGTGAGTCTTATTATTTACGACCTCTGCTAATGAAATGAAATTTCATAATATTTTGATATATATATATACACATTAAATAATTGGGAATAATTATTTCTTTCTAATCGTTTTTATTAGTTTGACCCGTATATGTATGTATGTAAATGTGAATGCAAAGGAGTTTTAAAGTTCAATTTTTACCTACTTTCGGATATCTGAATAATTTGAAATGTATCAAGATCCGTATAACTACAATAATTTCGTAACAATGACCTAGGAATCTCTGCAACTATTTCTGCCACTAAATAGAAGTGCTTTCATTGCTGTGTTTCTGACTGAAGGGTATAGGGAGCCAGTGTAATTATTGGTTGCGGTATAATTTAGGGTTTTAATTATGTTGCGTGGAACCCTAATTCTTTTTCTAAAATATAAGTAACCCTAAATTACTCCTTATAACTTCAGCTATCAGCCAGTGAATGTCCCGTCGAAATCGGTCCAGCTGTTTCGGAGATTAGCAGAACAAACAGACAGACAGATAGACAGACAGACAAAAATTTTAAAAATTATGTTTTTGTTATAAGTACCGTATATACTTTCATATGGATTAAGTAAAAAGCTGTTATTTTGACATTACAAACAGACACTTCAGTTTTAATTATTTGTATACATATAATAAAAAATATTTTTTTCTTATAAGCGTCTTAAGGTTCTCGCGAGCCATTCTAAAAACCATGTCATTATTGACTTATCAATACCTTTCCTCCTTCGAAACAAGTTATATATTTACTTTACTTTACGAGATAGGTTGGACTTTACTGTCAACGTGAGGATCACGCTAGCCGCTCACAATGAATTCGGTATATTATTTTTATACTTCACTAATACTTAAAGAAAAACACATTAATATTAAGAGGAAGTTCTAATTAATAAAACATGCTTTTATTTAAGTATTAGAAAATGTAAACCAGTAAAGTGAACAAGAATTCAATTTTTGTTGTTAGAAGAAGAATGTAGAACCCAATCTCTATGTGATGAGGATAATGAAATCTCCTCTTTAGATATGAAATCAAAGAGAGATCATTTAAAATGGATAAAAGAACAAGCAGCATTATAGACTTTTCTCTCTGAATGTTTGTATGTTTTTTTTTCTTTTTACAGTTTCTATAATACAATATTACGCTATTATCTTATAAAATTGTAAACTCTCGATAGTATAGGTATAAACCTTAGTTAGTGCTTTCTTTTATGCTATCACTATAAATATTTGTAATGCTTGTTGATGTGATAAATAAATGTAAAAAAAAAAACTTACACCTCTGTCAAATTTTAAGTAAAGCTTAGATCTATATTACATAATATGGTAACACACATCAGCGTAATTAATAGTGGACAATATAAGTGATTGGACGAGTATGTTATATATATTTCAAAACCAATTTCATAAACTCGATAAAAAGAAATCGTGTTCTGTGGTAATACCTATATATCTTTGTTTAAAATGTCACTTATTTGTTAAATGTATTAACGTGATTAAAACTGCGACGATAGAAATATGAATATTTTTAAAATAAGGTTATGATAGTAACATTTAACGCATGATGGCTGTTAAATAGTTAATTTTGTTTTAACTATTACTTACAAAGTTTTGTAACTGAGCTACATGGACAGGTATTAGTCCGGAAAAAACAGTGAAGTTTCTAGATTAATGTTCTTCATTTTACTTAAATAATTATCAAAAGCCTGAATACAGTGTTTATGCCAGTTTTGTAGCAACTATTAATGTCCTCCAGATCGAATTCGGTTCACTCCGACTACTCTCTACGGGGTCTAACTATCTACGCAGGACAGGATTATAGTGCACCAGTGCATGCACAAGCATACGTGTAATCTCTATTCCCTTAATCTTATAGTCTAATGTGATGGCAGTACGACACAATCAGGCGCAGGATCAACGACTTTACGTGCTTCCCGAGGCAGGGGATGAAATACCGTCAATTTTTGACTCCGGCCTGCTACTCAAAAATTTTTGACAGAAAAGCCCAATACTGATTTTGGCCTGAGTCGGGATTTGAACCCGGGACATCATCAGTTGTGCTTACGACTACTAGACCAACGAATCTGGCAGTATAACTGTTAATACATATTTCAGCCAACATGCATATTAAACTTAAATGAAGGTACCTCTTATACAGCTCTAATAAGCTGTTTTACAGAAGTTCAAAAACCAGATAAATGTGATTATTCAAATAGACAAAACATAAAATTATTAATACTTTCTACTTACAGACTGCAGCCTAGCTAAAATTGTGAAATTGGTCCTTATTGTTATAGACGCTAATGGTCCGTTTGGCTTTAGGGTTATTTCCCCATAAACCCCACTGTTATCGTTTCTGTATTCGAAAATCTCTGGACACGGAGACTGGTATTGAGTGTTCGCGGTAAAAAGCCGTGAAATAATTAAAATCACAAGAATACTGGTTGAAACACTTTCCATTTTGTTTGTTTTCCGTTGCACATACATAAAATTAGATTTCCTTTTGGTTTGAACTTTATCCGTATTTTATTTAGACGGACAGCTCTTCGTGTTCTCGAGCCTCCGTAGTATGACATACTAAAATACGCATAAATAAACTTACGATCGATCAAGAATTTCATAAAGGGAATCATGCCAAGACTTGATAAAGGATTGTGAACCTTCTGGTTAAGTTATTAAAGTTGTATGTAATAAGGGAATTATACCTCCACCAAGAGCCACTTTCATTATTAGAAATACTAAGTACATGATTACCAAATATTAAATATTAAAATATTTCTTTTAGGTTTACCTCAATTTCTAAATAATTTTTTCCCAATGGAAATTTTAAATGTATATTATTTTTATTTAAAGATAATACATAAAGCTTTAGATGTCAAATTAGCTCGCAGTATATCTAATAGTATGTAATAAACTGCATAGATAAATTTAACATTGTTTTTGACTATATTATGATGTAGCTTAACCAAATCATTGAATATAGATCGTTTGGCGATATTAACAACTAAACACAATATTGCTATTTATTTATATTGTTTATATCGTAAAATTATTTCATTACACACCGCTAGCAGCGCTGATAGCGTATTTTTGACAGTAGCAGAATTTTAAATAGAATATGCCTAAATTATATATTATATAAATGTTGGCCTGGCGGCTTTGTTGTGTGATTGGGCCACCTCAGTCGTACCTCAACTTATTGTCGCTGAGTACTAGAGAGTACAGTTTTTGTTTCCATAGTTTTAATCTCATAATAGCGCCATCTACTTACTGCTAAATAAACAAATAATAAGTAACTGATGAAATTAAACAGAACTCTATTAAATACTTATTGTCCAGCATCAAAAATTGTCAGACTTAAAATATCCAAACCGGTGGCGGGATTATCATAATTGTCACTTTTACTGAATTTATATAGTTGAATATGTTGGGTGTCTCTCAGCATAGCAATATTTCACCAACTTATTTTTGTATCCAGTCCAATGTCCAAGACGGCTCCGTGGCGTAGTGGTTTAGCAATGGGTTGCTTGCGCTGGGGGGCGCGGGTTCGAATCCCGCACGGAACAAGTATTTGTATGGCCTACAAATAATTGTTCCGGGTCTGGATGTTAGTCCTTGTGCAATTTGTGTTTGTAAACTGCCTCCACGATACAGGAGAAAATCCTCGTGTGGGGGTAACGTTTTTTAAAAAGAGAAAAAAAATGTAAGTAATGGAAGGTTAAGTGGACTGTAAGATTTTTATCTCTAAATGATGGCATAGTTTTAATGACTAATTACTACGTAGATGGGGTCCACAATAGTACAAAAGCTTCTTTTAAATTTTTATGACTTTTATTTAAGCAAATACGAAAGCCGTGTGGCACGCCGCAAGATTTCAAAGCACAGGAAAAAGATTGTTCGATTCCCGCGAGGATTAATGAAACTGGTAAGGAAATTTTATTTGCTTATTTTCCACGTGCTCAGTGAAGTGGTAAAGAATAACTTGATGACGAAACCTTGATGTTCAAGTAGTTTTAAAAAAAAAGTGGACATGTGAAACCACTATTTTGCACATGGGTGATTACCAGCCCTGTGCACAGTCGTAAGACGTATGTAAGCTGCTTCTTTACTTTTTTACTTTCAATGAGACTTATAAAACAGTTTGTCATATATTAAGATAGCTTTCATATTTTCAGACATACCTACCTATTGAGATTTTTGTGACAGTCCTGGTTTCGTAGCTGACATGAGTAAATGAACAGGCTCTTGCGAAAAAGTACTATAATATCAACGACAGTAAATTTTAAACGCATGTTTATTTTTATTTTAACTATGCGTAGAACTGCATTGATAAAATCTTTAAAGTTAACCGGTAATCGAGCCGATCCAAACGTACATTTCATAGGGAGTAAGGAACCCAATTTAGATCCGCACCGACACCACTCATACTTTAATTGCAATTTGAAGTTTCGATTTACCACGTTCTCAGTGGTGAAGGCAAATATCGCGAGGAAACCTGCATATTTGAGAAGTTAAAAAAATTTTGGAATTCATTTTTAGGTATGCTTATGTGAAGTCTGACCAACTTGGAGCCCGCGTTGGAGCCAATTCAATCAACGCTTTTTTGTCCTATAACTCTCTGCGGCCTGTCCCCAGTAGTGGGCTGCTACTTTCTTACTTTTAATAGGCCTATCCACTGCTGATCATAGGCTTCCCTCATTGTTTGTCAAATAGGCCGGATATTTGCAATAGCAGCCATGCTTGGCAAGTGGGTTGGCAATCACAGCTTTTTATTACTCTGCATTGTTATCAGGAAGATGCTGCCATCCACCTCCTGTTTCAGTTTCCCTTCTGTCGCCTCTTACGACACCCATGAGACGAAATGTAGTATTGGTTTATATTTCGCCGCCTCTACATTGCTAATATATTTCTATATGATTTCGATTACCTCCATAGATTACGAAATAAGATGGATATTAGCCGTTCTTGCCACGCTCGGCAGGCGGGTTGCAAACTGCATCATCTCTTTATTATTTTAAGCTATAATCAGAAAAATGCTTCTACCCATCTTCTCTATACTTCTACTCTCGTTCATGAATATAGTTCCTCTCACACGTTCGTCGTGAATAGAATAACATTTATAAAATTTTAACTTTAATTGGAGTGGTATTAATGGTATTTCTAAATTGAAACCAACGCGAGCGAAGTCGCGTTGGTTTCAATTTCAATTTATAAATACCATTAGTATGTGATTAATTTAGCCTGGGGACCTCTGCAGCAAACTTCAAAAGAAATTAAAGCTACAGGTGTGTTGTCGCCTCTGAGGAATAAGATTGTAATAATCTGTAGTAATCTGTAATTAAACTGCTTTTAAGGTAGTCAAGTTGGGAAAGCTGCCGAAAGAGACGCTTTATATGTATTATGGGCGGTGCTGGTGTAACCATAACTAGGTGGTAGTAGACGGTGCATGTTACGACTACGAGCCTATTTGCGCTATCGTTCCACGAGGCTGCGTGCTGTCACCTACGCTGTTTCTTCTGCATATCAATTATATGTTGATTGTTACGAGCTTGAGGTTCGACACAATTAAAAACTGCCGAGTGAATTACCAAAATCGACACTTTAATTACAGAGCACTAATTACAACTTAAACCACACTAATAATAAAACACAATTGTACTACTGATCACTTTAGTTCGCAGTTGTATCACTTCGAAGTATTCGCTTATATCGCCAATTCAATACTGACTCGGTCGTGGTCTATACCGGCCTTATATAGGGCCTCAGATAGTTTCCAGAACCCTCTACTGTAGAAACATCTAGTATGTTCGAGTATATATCGGTGCCGAAATATCTAGAAGGATCTTGACTCTCCTAGTTCTGCTACTCGACACTAGAGGACGCTAGTAGTAACTAGTTTTGCCATGTACAAGACATTAATAGTGGCGCGCAACATTGCCCCCTCCTAAGACATTCTCGTCCCGAGCATTATTGGCCCAATAATAACGCGCCAGTCGACCCACATGGACAATATTAGGAGTACCTCTTCTAACATCAGTCAGCACCTGCCAGTTTCCCTGTTGCTGCTGAGCGGTGCTGTTAGCCACACTACCCTCTCGAGATCGATCACCTTCCCTTTCTAGTTTAGGGCAGCTGGATCGAAGATGGCCCCTTTTACTCACAGCCGTAGCACCTAGGGCCGTACCACCTAGGGCCGTATCCTTTGTTGCGGACGTGAACTGTAGCCGCTGCAACCTCCCTGACGCGATAGGAACGATGATCCTGCCGCACGGCTTCCATCTCCAGTGCATGGGTCAACGCGTCCTTAAGCGTCTCGTGGTGCTCGAGCCTCACAGCAGCTCTGACTTCAAGATCGCGAATGCCGTCGATGAATGTCTGCACCAGGTTCCCTACAATGAGCGCAGGTACAGACTGGTATGCTTTCCGAACCAGCTTCTCCACCTCAAGGGCCCACTGCTGCAGGTTTTCGTTGCTGCGTTGCACGCGATCTTCGAGTTGCGCCCGAAAGACGTGTTCCAGGTGAGCGTCGCCATATCTCGCCTCCAACACCTCAAGGAGCTGCTCGTAAGTCACTTCCTTACAGAGAGCTTCCAGAACAGTTAAGGTCTGGTCGCGCAGGCCTTTCAATTTCAAAGATGTAGGTTGTTCAGACAGAAATGTGCAGACATAGCAGCCCTGCAGAAGATGATTTAAAGCGTGAGGGGAAAGTTTTATCACTTAGGTTAAAAAGACGTAAATATAAATAAAAAAAATTTAGAGTTCATTTAAATCTTGACGAACTTAGGTAGTAAGATTGGCCTACGGCAGAAACTCCATTACACGATTTCATTTAGTCATGTTTGATTTTATTAAATGTTTTTCATTACTTATTTTTATTTCAATTTTCCTTCATTTAAATACTCAAATATCTGCTTTCAAGGGCGTACGCTTGAAGAGCAAGAAAGGTACTACGCTCCCTGAGCGAAATTCTGCGTGCGCCCGTGCCCGTGCTTGCTCTCAAAAGCTGAAAAAACGCTGGTTAGCAGAAATACATATGTCTTCAAATTGGAGAAATAGCTTCAATACCTAAAAATGGCACACTGGATACATTGGCAAGTAAAATTTTATGCGTGTAACTTGCCTAAGGTATACATAAGCCAGTTTATCACGCTATTTGTACGCTACCGATTGCCTCTATAGCACATTTTTTTAAGGTTTCACGACGGGTGAATCATGGAAAGCATTCGAAATGAATTTAATAGTATTGTGTTGATACTTCCAACGGAATGCGTATCTAATTTAATAGAACAAAAACACACGGTGGCAACTCACTAGCTACTGTCATCAGGCACGCCCGTAGTTCGCATCGCGTGCGTTCGCATATGCTTTTTGGTATTCGATTTGCAGCTAAAAATCAGTTGCAATCTACTTATATGCCAACTAAAGGCATGCCTTTTAAAATAGTATACACACGATAGTAG